GAGCAGCCTCTACCTCCAGAGATAACAGAGAAAACCCACGGAAGGATAAACTTGGACAGGGCCCTCCCTCTCCACTGAAGCTGAGGCTCGGAACTCTCTGGTGGGTGCGTGGTGGGGGCTTACTGGATGGCAGAGAAGTTTGCTGAGGCGCTGCAGGCTGGGGCTGGCAAGCAGGAAACTGTGCTGGGGGGATGGCAAAATCTGACTGGAAGCCGCCCACTGGCAGCTGTGCTGTAGAAGCTAGAAAAGTGCTGGAGGGAGGAAGAGAAGACCCTTCAGCGTTCTTCTGGCACCTTCCATCCACTGATGGGGCACAACAGTGGTGCTGGCAGGTGAGACCACAGGGCAGAGATGGTGTTTCGAGCAGAGCACTAAATTAACAGCTGACACACACCCTGTTCACGTTCTCATAATTAAACGGCATTTAATAGGGAATCCTTCCTATTTCTGTTTTATGTGTTTATAGCCTGGTAGCTCAGTGGTAAAGAATCGGCCTGCCAAGCAAGAGATGCAGGTTTGATCCCTGAGTCGGGAAGATCCCCTGGAGAAGGAAATGGCAATCCATTCCAGTATCCTTGCCTGGGAAATCCCCTGGACAGAGGTGCCTGGTGGGCTACAGTCCATGGGGTTGTCAAGAGTCAGACACGAATTAGCAACTAACAACAACAGGCAGTACATAGCAGGCTATGGTGAGGACAGCCCTATGCTCCTAGTGGTCGGCTGCAGTCACCAGTCACGCTGATGTTATTACAGTGCCCCCTTTCACTCTCAGAAATGTCCCTGTTTGGAGGATAAAAATGTGGTCACACAAACTCTTCACATACTATTTTCTGTCAAACTATTCCCACTGGTTATAGAAACACAATGGATACAGACACACAAATCTGCTTGAAGACAGCCCAGGTGTGGAGGGGTCCAGATTCAGGAAGAAGTGCAGCCTGAGCTGCTTTGCTCCGTGAAGCATTGTTTGGTTTGTAGGTGGGAGAAACCAAGAGGCTGAAAAGCTGAGCCAAAAGCAATACTTCTCAAGAGTGATATATGATTTTTAAAATGTACATCTGTGTTTGTCTAAAAGAGCTCTTTTAATACATACAAAATAAAAAGTCTGATATGAAAGCACAGTGTTGTTAAAATGGCAGCATCTTTTCTTTCTTTAATATCACATGAAGTCATGGTACATTTTATAGGATAGGGCAACTTATCTTTGATGAAATATGGTATATTTGTTCCCATGTTTGAATGTCTCTATGGCAGAGATTCCTGGAAGTGGAACTGCTGGGTCAAAGGACATGTATTTGATAGATTCTGCTTAACTGTCTTAAAAAAACAAAAAGACTGAACAGTGTCCATTTCCCCACACTCTTTCTAATACTGAAATGCCATCAGTCTTTAAATGTTTTTCTCCTCTGACAGACTCTCACCATCATTTCAGCTTCTATCTGGAGTCAAGGGAATCTGTACTTTCCCAAATTGTCATGTTCTTCTCCTGTGTGTAATTGGTTCAAATCTGCATCACACTTCCCTAGAGCTTGGGCCATAAGACCTACACATCTTTCTCCTCCAAAGGGCAAATAAAGGGTCATTTCTCCATGTGGTGCTGGTAAGGATCATGGACTATTAGGATAGGAAGGGATTTTAGATGTTGCCAAATCCTAGAAGTTCTGAAAGACATTCAAGATGGTTCTCACTGTTACAGGTGATAGAGCACCTTCTCTATTTCTACTTAGAAAAATAGTAAAAGAATTCTTCAGTCAACCTCTTGCCCCATGAATGTGAGGTCACTCTGGGAACATCTGATGCCTGCTGACCAGCACCTGCAATGGTCCTTGAATACCAGGGGTGTGTTTAAGGTTCAGCCACAGTCGTGGGCCCTAAGTGGTGAGTTTTGACTCCTCTGCAGCACCTAAGATCATATATTGCTTCATATACAACCATAATGGAATGCTGGCTAAAAACATCAAGTATAAAAAGTTTGCTGAAATAAAGTAAAAGAAGACCATAAAATGAAAATTCTACAAATCTACTTCAAGATGATCTTCATGTACTTGATGTGCAAATTGCATTCGGCTAATCAAAATGTTTATCTTGTATGTCAGAAGCAAAAACCAAAAAGACAAAATATAGTGATCATTATATCCAATTTGGTCTTTCATTATTAGGAATAAAGACCAGCCATACCCACTTCATGTTATTTGCAGAATGGTGCTTACACATAGCAGCCAGAACCCTTCTGTTTTAGCTCATCATTTAGACACAAAAAACATGAAAGTAATAAAAATAAGCCAGTTTTTAAAGTGCAAAAAGCATAAATTCTAAACATTCATTTAGGAAGGCAGTTTGTGTCTATTTTTGATGCTACAATGAGTCATTACATTTCATACATTTTAATATACACTTGTCCTAAGAACAGTATATGCTCTTTTAAAGACTGTTAACAAAGCATGCTTTTCCTTTACATAAAGTAAAAAAAAAAAAGTAAATCGAACATTTTGCATTACATGATAAATGGGAAGTTGAAACTAGTCTTATGATACTATGGATATTACTCAAGTTTATTTTAATATCATACATATATCTAAAATAAGTTTTAAGAATCACTACTTTGTTACACATCACACAAATTATTACATGATTAAATCATCACAAGCTGTTGTCAAGAGTATACATGGTAAAAGGAATTTTCCAGTCAAGATAGGATAGAAAACTCTTACCTGGTTTAGACCTCACAGTTAACAAATGAGGAAACTGAGGCCCAGAAAGGGTAAGAGATTGACTTAAAGTCACACAGCCAGGAAAGGCCAGACTCAGACTTTTAGTTCAGTGCTCTTCAGGATGGGTGTGTATGAGGGTAAGTGATTTGAAGGTCTCAGTATACTTGTTCCTGCTGAAAAATCTCTCTAGTAGCAGAGGTTCTGACACTACCCCCTCTAGGTTCAGCACTGCCCTCACCAGGTTCCTCCTTCAGAGCCCTAATTTCCTTGGGGATTAATCTATTTTAGTTCTAAAAGGCCCTATTAGGTGTTGCCTTCCATTCCTGTGCAACCAGGGTCAGTCAATATCTGCTGAACCAAAACTGTAAAGGGTCTCATACAAAACAATATCTGCTTGAACAAACACAAGATCTGAAAGTGAAGCGTGGAAAGGGAAGTTGGACCACCAGGGGGCTATCTTTGCTCCTTATAGTTCACCAGAAATATTCCACCCGAGGAGCTAGCAGCAAGAAAGAGCAGACTGCAAATGCTACTGGATCTGAGAAGATGTTGTGTTGGAGTCCATAACTTACTTTCTTGTCTTTCAGGAAATTTACCCCTTTCAATTTAGGGGAAAAATTATTCCCACCTGTGGGCAAATCACACCTTTACCTTTAGAGCTTGTTCCATGTTTTAGGAGGGACTTATTTCAAAGGCTTACTCTCTGCTGTTCTTGATTTACCAAGGACCCGGCAAAGTGGGCTCCAAGGAGCCCTAATTCTGGCGTTTTGTAAACAGTTCTGCATCCACCATCAGCCTGGTATCTGAAGGGATCTTGCAGGGGTGTTGACCATCCTTCCTGAGCTCTGGATGTGTCTCCCATAGTTCAAAAACCATCTGGAGAGGCTTACCTATCTCCTTTCCCTGGGTATACAACACAGTATGCACAAAACATTGACCTTCCTGAAAACACCCCCTTCAGAGGCCCCTACCTTACCCAGAGCCTGTGCCTGTCACCTCATCCTCTGCCTGATCATTCTAGTCTCTACTGCTCCAATTTCTAGACTTTTCTACAATCCTACTCTTGACTTCATCACCCAAACACAACCTGTTAATGACAGTCATCATCATCAAGATGATTGAGCTTCCCTGGCGGCTCAGAGCGTAAAGGTTCCCGCCTGTAATGTAGGAGACTGGGGGTTCAATCCCTGGGTTGGGAAGATCTGGAGAAGGAAATGGCAACAGGCTCCAGTATTCCTGCCTGAAGAATCCCAAAGACAGAAGAGCCCTGGCAAGCCGGTCCATAGGGTTGCAAAGAGTCCGACATGACTGAGCAACTTAACACTTACCTTCCCTTCATCACGGTGATTATGCATGATTGTTATTCTGCCCCCATCCCTTGCTCATGCTGGGTTTTAAATTTATTGACATAGTGTTCTCTTGTTTGTTGTCCTGGCTCTCCCAGGAAAGCAGAGGTCATCAAACAGGGTGACCAACATGCCAACAGAAGCGCAGGAGACAATCGATGGAGGGAATCTGACAGGGAAGGGATGGGGGGATTTGGTGGAGGAGGAGGCTGCTGCTAAACTCCCAGAGGTTCTCACTAGAGTTATCAATCAAGGATAACAGACACAGTGCCTAGAACTCTCCAGAATGTTTACATTAAAATTTTTTTGAGATCATAAAAAATATAATAATAAGTGTAATGATAAACCCAGCCTGGATTATATTTGTGTTTTATAGCAGCAAAACATAAGTAAAAACACTTTTTTTTTTTTAAACGGAAAGGGCTCACAAAGACGAAGTGCATAGGGCGCGGGACAGTCATAAATAAGTCCTGGGTACGGTTTACACTTTCTGCTTTTAAAAAAAGAAATGGATATCCAGATATTTGTATGAGACCTCTTGATTTTACATATTAGGAACTCGCTTTAAACAAAACATACATTGTGTGGCCCAACAAAAGAGGTGGAACTTAGCCTGCAGCCTCTTGAAGACTCGGGCTACCATCGTGTCGCCGGAACGCCCGTGGCTTGACAAGATTTCGGGGACACTTCTTCAGTCTGAGTGCCCGAGCACCCCACTCAGGACAGAGTCAGGGGGAGTAAAAAGCCTTCGGGACACAACAAGGGTCTGACGGTTAAATCGCCGCCCAGTCCAGTGTTGGAAGCTCGAAGGCCACTTCGGCCCCGGCTCTCTCTGGAGCCTCAACCGGCGGTCGCGGGCTTTGCTCGTTCGCGGGTTTCCGGGCTCCCACCGACTTCCAGGGTTAGGGGGTGGGGTCTTCCCGCTCACCAGGCAGGCTGGAGCATGAGGCAGGGACAGTCGTCCCGGACACCTACGGCCCCGGAGCCCAGGCCGCCCCCCTCCGCCCCATCCCTCGCAACAAGGCCAGCCCGCCAGCCGCAGCCTGTCTCCTGGGTTAGACCGGCTCCTCGCGGGGTCTGCTACCGGCAGGCGAAGCTCCACACCGAGGACTCGGAGGTGGTTTTAAGACCGCAGCGGCCAGGGCTCCTCCTCCCGCGCTGCTCAGGGAGGCGGGCTGAGCTCTTCACAAGGCCCTGTCAAACGAGCCCGCCATTCCAGACGGAGACTTCCGCAGCCTACCCGCCTCCTCTCGGCCGGGAGCTGCCGGACCGGAAGCTGCGGGGCCTCGGGGCCTCGGCTAGTTCCCGCCGAGCCGCGAGCCGAGGGTGCGCATGCTCCGCAGAGGCCCGCACGGGGCCTGAGTAAACCCTGATAGAGCCATCGCGAGGCGGGGTAAGCAGAGCTCCAGTGGCGCAATCGGTTAGCGCGCGGTACTTATACAGCAGTACGTGCAGAGCAATGCCGAGGTTGTGAGTTCGAGCCTCACCTGGAGCATGACCCTTTTGGATACCCGCACATTCCCCACTTTTACTTCCGTGCTCAAGGAAACGAATCAGTCTCTCTTTAGTCTCCTCAGTTCCTGTCTCTGACTGCTCTGCGAGCGTCCTGCTCCGCGGCAGGCAGGAAGCCGCTAGTATCCGCTCCTCTTACTCCCGTTCCAAGCTACTTGTTGCCTCCCAGGAACCATCTAGCCGCCCGAACCCGGACGTTTACCTGCTGCTCCCTCTCCCTAGGCATTTCCATTAACGGCACCCACTCCCTGATCCCGGTACCGGGGATGTGGACCGCGGTAGCAGAGCGCTGCACCGGTGATGGGGCCCTACCTGGGTCTCGTCATCGAAAACTCCGGCTCCCTCCCTACGGGGCTTGCCCGAGCTTCCGGAGCCGGTTCCCGGCCGCCGCCCCTCACCCAGGAGCGGGAGGGGCGGGGTGCGCGGTGGATGGCGGGGCGGGAGCCGAGCGCCCACTCCCGCGAAGCCCAGAGCGGGAGCGGTCGCTGTCCTCCTTTTGAACTACTACTAACTGGTCGTCGCCCTCTCCCTCGGATCTGCAGAGCCCCTAGACGGCGGGCCCTTCTCCCCTCCGCAGGCCTCCAGGCCTCCCTGGGCGGATCTGCGGGGTTTGGGAAAAGTGCCTGGGCGTTTCCCTCCCCATTTGTGCCCCTTCTCCCGGTGTCAGTCAGGACGGGTGGAATTCGCTGGCAGACGGGAGAACAGACGTTTTCTAGGGATATCTTTTCCCACCGCCGCACACCCCATGTTCAGAAATACCCCCCCGGGACTCAGGAAATCTGCCAGCTGGATTTGGAATGTTCCAGCACGTGAACGCACCCCTGAGGCACGGGGGCTGCTTTGCCAGGGGATGGGTGGCCGGGGGGTGCCCCACATCCCCGGGGGGTGAGGCGAAGTGGGGAACAAGAGTAGCTGGGATGAGAGGCCTCCCGGACGCGTTCTCCCATAAGCGTGGTTTCAGCTGTTTTTATGGGGTGTGCTAGTAAACTCCTGGGATGGAAATACTATCAGGAGTGCTGAGAAGAAAGACCTAGAAAGCTCTGAGAAAGTGGGCGGAAATCTCGTCTGTCCTCTCGGCTACTAACCCCAGCCCCCCATTCCGAAAGGGGAGCCCCACACTACCTGAAATGTGAGAAAGTCCACCCGCGTCACCTAACCTGGCTGGACCAGACGCTTTCGCTCACGGCTCATCCTCTGCAGCTGGTGAGGGCTCCCCTTTAGAAATCTAGCCAGCCTGGAAACAAATATCTATCCGCCACCCCGACACAAAAAATTTGCTTATTTTTTAAAAAATAGCTTTATCGAGATATAACTCATATACCCTACCATTCACCTATTTAAAGTTAGCAGTTCAATGGATTTTAGTACTTTCACAGATAGGTGCAACCAGCAATCACCACAGTCAATTTTAAAGTATTTTTATCGACTCAGTAGGAAATCCTGTATCCTTCAGCTATGACCCCACCCCACCCCTAAATAATCACTAATTTATTTTCTGTCTCTACATTTCCCCTTTTCTGGGCCTTCATATGAATGGAATCATAATGTGTGGTCTTTTGTGACTGGCTTCCTTCAATGTTTTCAAGATACATCCTGTCCTAGCTTGTATCAGTACTTTCTTTTTTTTTAAATCTATGACTGGATAATATTCCATTGTATGGATTCTTTACAATTTTGAATAGAGAAAAGGCTGGCATTTTAAAAACATTTGCTGAAAATTTTTTAAAAAGGAAATTAATGTTAAAATGTACAAAGCATAAAAACAGTTACACTTGCCAAGTGTGTATTTTTAACTTTCAGAGGTTACCATTGCAAGAACTGGTCAGATATTTCCAAAAGCTCAGCTAAGCTTTTGGAAATGAGCTTTTGGGCCCACGTGGGCCCCCCACGTGGACAGAAACAAATGAAAGAAAGATCATACTGCCCAACCCCCTGTCCACACTGGGAATCCCCTCTACAAAACCCCAGCTCCTGTTTGAAAAGTTTTAGCATCAGTATTTCATTTCCTCTCAAGGTGATGCATTCCACTTTCTGTCAGCTCTAATGGTTAGAACATTCTTCCTCTTAAATATTGTTTCTGTCCCTACAGGTTATTGCTGGAATGATGGTGGTTTGGGGAACTCTTTTTCTGGTGAGGCACTGAAGTGGGAAGGTAAGAAGCTAAATTAGTTGTCCTTGCTCTATTTAAGCTAGAAATCACCAGATAGATTATTAGTGGATTACAAACAAACAGACCACTGGCAGATTTGTAGGTCAGTGTCTTAATGTGAGGTTGATAGGTCTTTTAAAGGTTGTGAAGAGTGATAAAGATCAAGTCAGAATATTATGAAAACATGCTATAAAAACCATAAAGTACTGCATATACAGATATAAGGAGGTGGCATTCCTATCACCACAAAACTAGTGGATTAGACCTGTATGCAAGGAGGAAGATGGATAAATACGAGTTGGATAAACTCTGAAGGCAGGCTGAAGTTATAGCTGAATAGCTGTAGCTGTCTAGCCGGAGGGAAGCCTGACCCGCCCATTGAACTCTACTGAACTATACACACAGGTTGACATTAACTTTGTAGATGGCTTTGGATAGGCTAATTAAAATTGTGTGTGATACAAAGAGCTGGAAGGGAGTGCAAATTCAGTAGAATTTGAAGGTAGAATATGAGACAAATGTTTCTGACAAGTGACAAGATGCAGTTTGATAGAGATAATTGTAAGCCTGTGTTCAGTTCAGAGTTCAGTGTGGTCAGTGCCTGGCTTGATAGCTGTTTGCATATAAAGAATCTGGGCATATCGGATATGCACAACCTCAGTTGTCCTGGTCCTGTGATTCAACTGCTGAGAATGTCATCCGATTATTAATGCATTACTGCATAATGCATTACATGGTGTGGTGTCAGAGATCATAAAACAGCAGTCTGTGGAACAAATCTAGCCTCCAGACAGGTTTTGTTTGGATTTCCAGCACTGATTTGTAAAGTGTTGAAAAAATTATAATCATTTGCACATTCGGAGATTTTACTGCAATGCCTAGATTTCAAGTTTTCGATGAAAAATTAGAAGACTTGTTTGTCTTGAGCCCTTATTCCCACATGGCAACATTTCCCTCCCCTTTGGATGAACATGTATGTGATCTTCCGTTTGTCATGGTCCTACAACTCCCCACTCATCCCCAACACAGAGGTGGGTACCAACTGCCACTGTTCTACCCACTTCACTTGCTTTGCTGTTTTCTTCACCACTGACTCATTCCTCTCATTTGTGACCGACAGTCATTGAGTATGTGGGTCAAGATAGGGAATACTCACATTGAACTCAACCTGATGGCTATCACCTGTGTGAACACAACCCATTTAAAATTCAACAAACCAAATCCCCAGTTCTTCATTATGAAAATTTTCAAACATATCCAAAGTAGAATAAATAGTATATTTAAAAGTAGAGAATATATATAGTTAATATATATCCATCCATCACTATTTTCGAGAATTGTCATTTATCTCATTCTCACAACATTTTCCCCTACCACGGTCACCAAAATATTTTAAAGGAAATCCCAGCTATGGTTTAATTTGACTTGTAAATACCTCAGTATGTGTACCCAATAGGAAGCCACTTTTTAAAAGAGCATAACCACAGTATCATTATTATACCAAACAAGGTTAATAATAGTGCCTCTACATCATCTAACACCTTGTCTGTGTTCAAATGTCCACACTTAGCTCTGAAAGATATTTTTACCATTGGTTTATTTGAATCAAGAGCCAAGCAAGGTCCGCATACTAAATTTGATCAATATATCTTAAATATCTAAATCTTTCTCTCTCTTTTCATTTATACTAATTACCCATTCTCTTTTATGATGTTTATTTATTTTATTTTTAATTATTGGCTGTGCAGCATGTGGGATCTTAGTTGCCCCACCAGGGATCGAACCTGTGTCCCCTGTAGTGGAAGCCTGGAGTGTTAACCACTGGGTGGGTCACCAGGGAATTCCCTGATATTTGTTGATCTATAGAATTTCGCACGGAATTTGGCTAACTGAATAACAAGGCATCATTTCAAAAGCTATTCAATCCCCCTGACATTTAAATCTAGAAGCTTGGTACTATTAAGATTCAAATTTAAAAAAAGTAGATTATAGGTGGTTCTATATACTATTGTATCACAAGAGGGAAAGTACATAATGGCTGGGTGTTCTGCTTTTACTGATGATTTCAGGTGTGGTCAGCCTGGTCCATGCATTACGAAATGCCACATCAGCCTCTAACCTAATGATTTTTAGCAGCTGTTGATGCTCTGTCTAGATTTATTACTGTATTAAGGATTACTCAATAATGGTTCCTAATTCTATTATTCCCTCTGTATTTGTGACTGTGATACCTTAAAAAAAAACCAAAAAACCTTTTTTTCCATCAACTATTTGGTTTTCCTAAAGCACAATTCACAAAGAAAAGGTTAGATAATATTGCTGGACTCTTCCTTTTTCTACTAATATTTAGAATAATGTATTGATGCTCTAACAATTCCCATAAGTGACCAATTAGTTTTTTTTATTCCACAGCTTTTTAAAAAAGGTATGTTTGACATACAATGAACTGCATTAATTGTTGTGGAGTAGCTTTTCTAGTGCTTGTTAAATATTCAGATATCTTCTTTGGTGAACTATCCTTTAAAATCTTTTGCCTGTTTTTTATTGAGTTATTCATGTTTTTATTATTGAGTTATAAGACTTTTTGTATATTCTAGATATAATTCCTTTGTTGTGTATATGTTTTGTAACTAATTTCTCTCAGTTGTGGTTTGAGTTTTGTTTTTCTAAATGGTGTCTCTTGAAAAGCAGACTTTTAAATTTTGATAAAGTTCAATTTATCCATTTTTTAAAATTATGGATGACACTTTTGGTGTTATAGCTAAGAAATTTTTGCTTAACCCAAAGTCACCAAGATTATAGTCTATGTTTTAGCTCTTACCTTTAGGAGTTCACTTTTGTGTATGATGTGAGTAGAGGTCTAAATTTTTCTTTTTTTGTGTATGGATATCCAATTCTGGCCAGAGAAGGCAATGGCACCCCACTCCAGTACTCTTGCCTGGAAAATCCCATGGATGGAGGAGTCTGGTAGGCTGCAGTCCATGGGGTCACTAAGAATTGGACAGGACTGAGCGACTTCACTTTCACTTTTCACTTTTCATGCATTGGAGAAGGAAATGGCAACCCACTCCAGTATTCTTGCCTGGAGAATCCCAGGTATGGGGGAGCCTGGTGGGCTGCCGTCTATGGGGTCGCACAGAGTCGAACACGACTGAAGTGACTTAGCAGCAGCAGCAGCATCTAATTCTGGCAAAATTTGTTGAAAAGCATACCCTTTCCTGATTGAATTGACTTCACACATTGTCAAGAATGAATTGATCATAATTGTGCTGGTCTTTTGCTGGACTTCATTCTATCTTATTGAGCTATATGTCAATGTGGTGTCACGTGTTGGTTACCATAATCATACAAATATATACATACCATATATAAAGTTGTATATATTTATATGACTATAGTAATCAATACATAACACTATATATACACATACACACATTAGGGTTAGTTTGCCAATTTGTATGAAAATATCCTGGGATTTTTACAAGAAGTCTGTTGAGTGAGAATTGCCTCCTTAACAATGTTGAGCCTTCTGATTCCATAAATAAGATATGTATCTTCACTTATTTAGGCCTTTAATTTCTTTAAACAATGTTTTATAGTTTTCAGTGTTGTAATGTTGTATTATTTCTTCCTTAAATATTTGGCAGAATTCACGAGTAAAGTA